CACTAATTGTCGTATTTGTATTAATAATCACTGGTTTATCGTTCGTCAAATGGTCACAATTATCCCTTAATTTGTCATTAATTGGTTCACTTGTGTTGGGTTTACTAATAGCTGTCTTCTCTTCCCGCTGAGGCTTAGAATTAGCCGAAACTGTTTCATTCACATTAGGAGTGGTTGAAAGGGAGGCAGCACTTGGTTTGTCTGGAGTGGTGGTCGTCGCCGCGACTGCCACTGCCGTCGCGAAGTTCAACGCTATGATCTGGGCGTCCATCTCCTTTGACTATAATCATAACAAGTCATGAGTAAAACAATTTATAAATTACAATCATTTCGTGAAATACCGTTTGAGTGGTATTCGCAGGATTGGAAGTTCCCGAATGTGACTCAGTCTTCAGAGTGGCATCGGTTTGGCTGTTGGCCTCTTCAATGGGGTTTTTGGCCAAATCGGCCAAATCAATGGTTTTGCCACTATTGGGATCCGTAAGAATGGCCAAAGTCCGCGTACGCTTCTGCACCTTCGTTGACGACGGTGTGGGCGACTCGGTGTTCATCTCAGGGGTGGGCGCAGTCATCTGAACGGGCAATGGCTGGTGAGTCGTCTGTATGACCGGTTGAGCGGCAACCGGTTGTCCTCTGGGCTGGAGCTGTGACGACACCATTTGAGCGTTTGGATGAGTCGCCGGTTGAGGGTTAAAGTGAGACGAGTAGACTGTAAAACACATTATACATTACTTTGTGACACACGTAACAAGTAGTGAAAAAACATACCATTCATGCCATACGGGTACGCCGGTTGCGGCTGAAATGCCTGTTGCGGCTGCTGTTGTTGCTGTTGCGGGTGCGCATACATGTAGTACTGCATGTGGGCCGGATTTAAGGCCCTCTGTTGATACTGTATTGTAAAGCATGTGTTTAAACATAATATTCAATGCAACATCATATGTCATATTCAACATACGGAATGAGCCATATTATGAGGCGTCAGATTATAGGCCATCTGTGGGATGTGATGTTGTTGTGGTGCCATTTGCACTGTGAAGAACTGCTGATGATTCGGCTGATGCGGACCCATATTATGGCCCACAGACTGCTGGACAGCGTTTTGCGGAACACTATTGGGAACGCCATTGTTTGGTCTGTGATTCAAAAGTGCCTGTCGTTGCTGTTGTTGTGGTCGTTGTTGTTGTGGATGGAAAGGATATTATGGCCCACAGACTGCTGGACAGCGTTTTGCGGAACACTATTGGGAACGCCATTGTTTGGTCTGTGATTCAAAAGTGCCTGTCGTTGCTGTTGTTGTGGTCGTTGTTGTTGTGGATGGAAAGGATGATTGAATCGATTGGGTTGAGGCATCATTTGGGACACAGTCTGCTGCAGATGCATCTGATTGGGGGCCGCGTTGGGCACGGCTGAGGCCGGCATTTGAGGGGCCGCCGCATTCACGTTCGGCACCTGTGCTGAAAGGTTTGATTGGGATGTAATGACACCACTTTGATGTGCTTTTGCCATATCATGTTGTGGTATTCCCTGTCTGGCGGCCTATCGATGCCGTAAAGCATATAATTATAACGTATAGACATATATGGAGTATAATAGGTAGACATACGCTCGAGTAAGTGTGTCTCTGGTCCGGACGCGAGTGATTCTCAGTGGGCGCAGACCCTCTTGGGTTTATACTATAAAGCATTTCATTAACCAATCATTAATGCATTAATTCATCATATATTCAATCAATCGCACAATCAATACGTGTCTCAATCAACTCAAGTTAAATCAGAAGACATTTTATACATAAAAACAATAACACGAGTCAAAAGGTATTTGAGAAATACGTGAACAGAGAATAAGAGCTGAGAGAAGAGGTCATAAACCTCTGGTTTTGGTAGTCATTGAATGCATTGACCGAAAACTTGAAGATCAACCAAAGGTAACGACTCGACACACAATCGCAACATTCGTTATGAATGAGCGCAACAACACATCCAAATCACTGTTACATTCAATCAATTCATTACAATATTTACATCCATTTAAACACCAAATTGCAAAACAACACAAATTATTTACATTTTCACTCCAATATCTCTGCCATTAAAACCCTTTTCTTAGCATCAATTTGTTGTTCACATTAAAGTTTTCACCTCAAAGTCAAAGACAAGTTAAATGAATGTTTGAATGTATATAAAAATGCAGAGGAATGTGGAATGAATGCTATGAATGCTATCCAATGGACTCAAATTGGGCATCAAATACACAGCCAATAAATGGGTCATTCAATACTCAACTATTCAATACCAGACTAAATACCCAAACAAATCATCACAATATCATTAATTGTTACTTTTATTGTAATCATATCAACAAACAATCCAATAAAACGTGATTTTTGTAAATAAATCATATATTAGTTTAGTTAATATTAATATGGATTAAAGTAATGGACAGTTAATGGGAGATAAGCTCGTGAGAGGCACATGAGTGCCACTCGTATCACAACAGATCAACCAAAGGTAACGACTCGACACACAATCGCAACATTCGTTATGAATGAGCGCAACAACACATCCAAATCACTGTTACATTCAATCAATTCATTACAATATTTACATCCATTTAAACACCAAAAACAACACAAATTATTAACATTTTCACTCCATATCTCTCCCATTAAAACCCTTTTCTTAGCATCAATTTGTTGTACAAATTAAAGTTTTCACTTCAAAGTCAAAGACAAGTTAAATGAATGTTTGAATGTATATAAAAATGCAGAGGAATGTGGAATGAATGCTATGAATGCTATCCAATGGACTCAAATTGGGCATCAAATACACAACCAATAAATGGGTCATTCAATACTCAACTATTCAATACCAGACTAAATACCCAAACAAATCATCACAATATCATTAATTGTAACTTCTATTGTAATCATATCAACAAACAATTCAATAAAACGTGATTTTTGTAAATAAATCATATATTAGTTTAGTTAATATTAATATGGATTAAAGTAATGGACAGTTAATGGGAGATAAGCTCGTGAGAGGCACATGAGTGCCACTCGTATCACAACATGTCATTAGGTTTGCAGTCAAATGCCAGACATGACATCAAATTATGTCAAATTGTCTATCGATTCAACCATACAATTGACGGCCATATGTACTGCAGACGTACCCATCAATACAATAAGCCTTTAATAAGACATAACCGGTAAATGTCTGAATTAAACACACTGTCAGACAGTTTACTTTGATTTAGAAAAATATTTCAAAAAGTAATAAATTTAAACAAAAAAGACCTCATTTTGGAAATACCGGTGAATATGTGTATGTGTTTAAAGGGGAGGGAAGGGGAGAGAAAGGGAGAGAAACTGTGAAACATGTTTAATACTCTGTTGAATGCAATCGAGTGATTGTGCAATCAATGCAAACACTATAATACACTGTAATTGCACTCAAATCTCAATCGTTGGCATCCCTTGTCTCAGACATTACAATCAAATCTATCCTTTTGTCGACAAATAATGAGACAATCAAATCAATTAATGGTCTAATAATTGACTAAATATACGTCAAAATCAAAGAGTAAAGCGAGACATGAGCTGTAAATGAGTGGCTAAGAGGTCGAGCCAATGGAGACAGTAATGAATGCAGTAATTGATTGACACAAATGGTAAACAAGTGGCGGAACAAACCTCTGGTGATTGACACGTGATATGCCGTGGGCTTGATTGGGGTACTTCTGTTGGTTGTGTTTCATCACGTTGTTAGGCATGTTAGACATGTTGGACACGTGGGCACCGGTTGGCGGTCAGGAACAAACCTCTGGTGATTGACACGTGATATGCCGTGGGCTTGATTGGGGTACTTCTGTTGGTTGTGTTTCATCACGTTGTTAGGCATGTTAGACATGTTGGACACGTGGGCACCGGTTGGCGGTCTTCAGTTAGTCCAGGAGTCGACAGAACGGCGATTGTATGCAATCGGCGGCAGTGGACAGCATTGGGCTCTTCAACCACTCTTCACCCGAACTGGTCTTCACTTGTGGTCGCGATTGCAATCAATGATGCGCTCAAACGGTGGGATCCGATCTCTTCGCACATTCATTCATTCAATACACTCGACAACAGCAACACAACGACCAGAAGAGCCATACATTGGACACAATTGCCATCAAATGCTTGACTAATTAGTATTGAATCGCCAATCGTTTCAATGGATTTGTCGTACGAAAACTTATTTACTTAACGAAAAGCACATTTGCTCACAACTTATGTTATAAACCGCATTTTACACAAAGTGAAGAGCTCAGTGAATGTTTACCTACAGTATTTACCGCATGTTAATATGGTTATGACGTGTACTGTCTGTACTGTACGTACACTCAACACACCAATCAATGTTGCCTTCATTCCCATTACATGCTGTACTACAACTCCATTTAAACCTATCACCAAAGCCACAGCTTTACGAACTAACAATACTGCTGTACTGTCTGTACTGTACGTACACTCAACACACCAATCAATGTTGCCTTCATTCCCATTACATGCTGTACTACAACTCCATTTAAACCTATCACCAAAGCCACAGCTTTACGAACTATTCAGTCACACATACTTTCATTACACATACTCCACGCCAGAGAGGGTTCAGTGCTTCACAATATTCCACATTCACTCCTAACCAACACATCCAATGGGGACTCAATCAACGCTCCAAACTGTACGCTATATTTGAATGGCTCCCAACCAAAAGCGCTCGCATATTGTCGGACGTAATCTATGAACAGTCGCTAAACATGACCGCAATTAACATTTCGTTTACTAAAAAGTATTTCAATAAAACATAAAACAATCATTTAATTGACAATATTTTGTTGAATTTAATATAAAAATACATGTATTTTATGTAAATACGAGTTATTGTCACAAATCGATGCCTTTATTGTCCGCTATTTTGTAGACAAACCGGAAATGATGTCATTTGAGCGCAAATCCATTAATCCATAAATAATGTGTTCATTACATGAAAAAGAGCTCCAAATTTGAAAAATTAGTTTTATTTATAATTATTTTAGAAAATATGAAAAATTAACTCTTTTTATGCAATCAATTGATTTGATTTGATATAAACACTCATTACATGTGAAGCCATTGATCGGATCCGACATAAAGTTAGACATAAGACAGTAGTAGCAGAAGACGTGTCGGCAACCGATCTCATGACCATTGATTGGCCACTCGTTACAAATGACACAATTGTTGAGATCATTGCTAACTCTTAACCCGATATTGGATTCAATGGTCGGACGCGAAGACGAGATAAGACTACGAAAAGTGTTAACACATGAGTTCTTCAATCGATACCAGTTTATTAACGGCAATACAAATGACAACAACTGCGCGAATGTATGCCATAACAGCTCCCGATTCATAATCTCTAAATACAGCTCATTGTGGGACCAGTTGTGGTGATCGGACTGAACACCGGTTCCCATTCTCATCACGGCTTCCCAACACGTCCTGTATTTGCCATTATATAAAAATATCAATCCGTTTATCAAATCACATGTTTTGTACAAATTGTCGATTATATGTATGTAATGTCCGATACGATGGCTATTGACTCGTTGTTGAAGCCATGGAAACACTATTTGCGTGCAAACCATCGCTGACTTCTGGTATGCATTCAAATGACCGACAATTGTATTGTCACTCAAATCGTAATATTGCAGTTCAAGTAATGACTGTCCAATGGATGAGCCCTTTCTGTGCACTGTATTCATCCAAATGTATGCCTTTATGAATGCCATTACTTCTGGACTCAATCCTCTCAACGCATCCGACTATGCATTCAATCCATCGTTAGTTCAATTGTACATCAAATCAATGCTAATCTCTATTCACCTCTAAGTCATTCACTTTGGTCTCAAACATTGCATTCAACTCCGAGTCCAACGATTTCGAGTCAATCTATGCATGGGTTCAATACATTAGTCAATCACTTCATACACAACTCATTCGTTCGTTTCAAACCTGATTCACTCGCAGACTATATATTGTGTCCATTCGTACGGCTTTAGTGTCCATCCCTTCGGCCATAGTATATGAGATTCACACAGTGTTGTCGTATTTATCAACCATACAGTAGTGTCATATCACACTTAACACGCTATGTATTGCTTTCACTGCTAAACACAACACACATTGACACACATTTCGATGGCATTCATGTGATGCAGAGAAGACACTCGCCATTCAATTAAGTAGTTTGTCGTAAGGCGTGAATCACACGTTGAATTTAATTACTATAAATACAATGCAATCATAAGTGTGTCAAATATGTCACATAATATTTATTTGCGATACTATTATTATAACGTTATTAATGGAGTGAAGGGTTCGATAAAATTTGGGAAACATTGCGTTGGAAAGTATGTGTGAATACATTGAATAGATTTGGTGTGTATTTTACACATATATTCCCGAATTTGGGTAAAAGTCGAGCGCTTGTAATGTGTGTATAGAAAACAACACGTATTGCATGTATGACTGTATGAACTGTAATAGTGTTGACTGTATTGAAGAGGCATTCAATTGAACTGTGAATGCATTGACTGT